TGGGAGCAGATCCCGGGTATTCCTGCAAGGGAAAACGGGTTCTTTTTGATGTTCTTTCAAAACAAACTTGCTAAGGATTACTGGCAGCGTTTAACATAAAACAGGAAAGGACAGTGCATTTAACAGCCCAATTCAAGCCTGAAATTGCTTTAAGCCACTTCAGCTGTTCCCAGGCCAACACGGGGGATGGAGTGCAGGAAATAGAGCCTAAAAAGCTTAATTTCTTTTTTTTTTTCCCTCCTTTTTACTGGCAGGTGTTTCCACCTTTACTTTGTGGAGCTCATCTGATATTACTATTCCCTGAAGGTAAGTGCCTCAGCAGGGTGAGGAACTCAGGCAGCTCCTGCACAAAGGTGGCTGCACCCAGATAAGTCAGAAAGGTAAAAATAATTAAAAAAAAAAAAAAACCCGACCCAAACCCAGAAACCAACCCTACTTGTTTGTGTAAAAGCTTGGAAGGTTCATTTGTTGAATCACGGGCTGGATTTCCCATTCCTGCAGCATTCCCACAGAACATAAGCTCCGGCTTCGGGAGGGAGGGGAGGGAAGTCCACCTTTGTCCATCACTGCCCCAGGACAACAGGCATGAAGAGGTTCCAGCAGAACCCCAGGCCCAACCTCAATATCTGATTTTTTTCCTGATGAATCCCCACACCCACTCATGTTTTTCCCCACAGGAAAATATCCCAACAAACACTCATCCTGCAGGAACAGTGAGGAATCCCCAGGCCAGTCCTTCACAACGCTCCTAATTTCATTTTCTGCAGCTTCCAATAAAACCAATAAATCTTCCCATTTCTACATTTTAAGACATGAACCAGCTGCTTTCTGCGATCACGTGTGAGGACAAGATCAGTCCTGTTTCCCTGGGCTTGGATACAACACTTCAGTCAGGAGCTGCAGGGAATTCTGAGGGGGAAGAGCCAAATGCCACTTCAGTCTTGCAAAAAGTCCCAGCCTAGGCAGGCCGCTGCAGAAAACAAACCCAGTGCCAGGCTACACTGCTGGGACCAAAAATAACACCTTTTCCATCTGGTGGAAAAGCAGAGGTGGGAAGCAGAGCAGCTCAAAGCTCCTTAGAATGGAAATGTAAGGCTGGTAGTGCTGAGGAACAGAAAACAGGGAGAATTCTACCACAGGGACACCCTGGGAGGTTCTGACCCAAATCACTCCAGCATTTTGGTGGGGAGTGGGAGTGAGGCAGGAAAAACACTCCAAGTGCAGAAGGAAAGACACGAAAAAAAAAGGATTTTTATCTTAGGAATTAAATGAGAAATTACAAATCCTCTAACAACAGGGCTTGCAGTGAACTCTGTTTCCTGTGTGGAGGGTGCAGCTCGTTGTTCCACAACATCCCTAATTTACTGGTTTCCCTGAATTCTGCTGCAGTTACAGCCACGAAGATCCCCGGCCCGACCATCATTAAAATTCAGGGCTTTGTGACTGAAGATTCTGCATTTACAACCCAGTCACGAAAGCAGATTATCCATCGCCCACTCCGGAGGAGAGGTCAGGCCTGAACCCGCACAGCGCCCCGGCCTCACCCGCCAGGGGAAAAAACGAGGGAAAACTGGAGTAAAAAATTAAGATATTTGCTTCAAGCACCCAAGAGCAACACGTGAGGGGTTTAGGGGCCGCCGAAGATTAAAGAAAGGCGTTTTAGAGCCGCTACGAGTTGTTTATGGGGCGGTGATTCCTCCCGCAACCAGCAGCGCGGCCCAGGCCCCCTTATCAGTTTAGATTAGCACAGTTATCGACGGAGCTCATTAAACCCGTCAAATGGGCTCATCTCTTAACCGATTCACGCGAGGCGCGGGTTTGTATCCAATATCAAGGCCTCCGAGCGCTGCGCTGGTTTCACGGCCCAGCGAGGCGGTGTCTGAGGGAGCAGCGCCCTGTGGGGGTGTCGAACCCCCCTCACGGGGCCGCTGCCTCGGCCCGGGGCCGCCCCCGCTTTGTCGCGGCCCCCGCAGGCCCCGGATGGCGCCGCAGACAATACCGAGGGGCGGCCCCGCCGCGGGGGGTGGAGGCCGCGGCCCGGCGGCGGCGCCGCCTCAGGGGAGGGGGCGGCGCCCTCCGCCGTCCGCCCCCCCAGGCGGTCGGGGCCGCCCCCTGCGCTCACCTGCGGTGTCAGAGGAGCCGCCGCGCTCCGCCGTGTCCCGCCCGGCCGCACCGGCCCCACCGGCCCCGCTCGGCTCCGCGCTCGGCCCGGCCCGCTCCGCCACACACCGCGGCACGCGCGTCACTTCCGCCAACGCCGGCGCGCGCACGCCACGCCCCCGCCCCTCCCCGGCGCGCGCCCGGCCGGGCCCGAGAGGGTTGGGGGGGAGGGGCGGCGCGGGGCACGCCGGGACGCGTAGTCTTTTTTGCGCCTCCCGGCGCGGGGCGTGCCGGGAGTTGTAGTCCCGCGCACCGCCCCTAGCGGCCATTTCGCGTAGCGCGCGAGGCACCCCGGGAACAGCAGTCCGGAGGGGCGGCCGCCATCTTGTGGCACCGCAGTGCGGGGGGTTCCACAACATCCCCGGTGCTGAGAGAGCGGCCCCCTCAGTGCCTCTGAATGGGGGTCCTCAGCATCCCCGGTGCTGAGAGAGCGACCCCCTCAGTGCCTCTGAATGGGGGTCCTCAGCATCCCCGGTGCTGAGAGAGCGGCCCCCTCAGTGCCTCTGAAGGGGGGTCCTCAGCATCCCCCGTGCTCACTGAAGGATCCCCGAACATCTCCCAGTGCTCACTGAGGGGTCCCCAACCACCCCCCGGTTTCTGGGACCCACGCTGCATGCCTAGGCTTCAACCCCATTTCCCAGACGTGCTGAAAAAGCCATTTTTAGTCTCTCCTTTCCTCAGGACAAAGTGGAGATGCCTCTCGTGCCCTACCCTGCCCGGGTGCCCTACACTGCTCGGGTGCTTCCAGACTGAGCTTCACAACCTCCCTGAGGCAAAGAAGCCACACACAGAGTCGAAGGCCCTTTGATCGATCAAAATTAGCAAGGAATAGAATCTGGAGTCACCAATCCCCTCAGGACGCCAGCCCCACCTGTAACATGGGAAACGTGGCACAAAAACATCTCGAGGTGCAACTGCAAAGCCCAAAGCGTGTTCCGGACAGGCGTCAGTCCCTGCAATGTGTTAGTGGTTAAGGGGTTACCAGATGTGAGCAGCTGTTTAGGCTCAGCTCTAGTCAGTGAGCTCAGCCAAACTCTTAGAAAGGCTCCTCTGCCATCGAACCCACCCCTTTAGGCTGCCTGGGAATCAGGCAGGGCTATCTGAGGATAACAATCTCATTAGCATTCCTCTGCTCAGCCCTCTCCTTCCTTCATCCTAAATTTTAGTAAGGGGCAACTAAAGCTACAGGATTTTCTGGGGAGCAATTCTCCCTTGAATAATGTGTTTACACTGATTTTATTGGTCACCAGCTTGTTCCCAGGGCCTAAGGGCTTTCTCTATGGCCTGTCACCCACTGACTGCAAAAACACCCCTGCAAGGATCATCAGTAAAAATATCAGTACCACGCTCTTCCTCCTCTTACTTTCATAACAACTTCCAACTCTACAAATCCAGCAGATGTGATTTTTCTCCTCTCTAACAGAGGCTTTTTTCCCTACTGCTTTCCCCAGCAAAGAGCACCCTGCAGGGTTGCTCCTGCTGGAATTCAGGTATGGAAGGTGACAGGTAAAACACAGAGCCCAACATTTCACACACGTGGATTTTCCTCAACCCTTCACAGTGCAGATAGTTATTTCAAAGAATAAGCAGACCATAGCACCAACATGTGTGTCTGGCATCTGCCCTCAATTTTTTCTGAAACCTTTTCCTCGGGAATTAGGGTAAGGGATGTTTTCTCTCTGACCTCTGCATGGAGACAGAAGACACTTTTGCAGAAGCAGAGTGGGTTTGACTTAATTTTCTGATGTATAAAAGCACCTTGGTGCACAGGTACAAGTGAGATTTCCACACGGGGACCAGGGCTTTGAAGTACCTGCATTAGGTAGTAAGAGCTGCAGCTCCCAGAGCCAAGGATTTCTGGGCTCTGAAGGTGGACTATGCCACAACCACTTTACCCCCGGGAGTGCTTTATGTTTAGAGGCTAAACATGACGTACCACCCTCCTGCAGTGAAACAGGGCAAGCTGCAGACAAGGTGCAGAGCTGTTTAAGATGCAGGGATTAGCTAAGAAAAGGCTATTTTAAAAATTAAATTTAGTATTTCAGTGTATTCATTTCAACTGCACATTGTAAGGGAACCTAAAATGCTTGGGGGAGGTGGAGACCTTCAAAATAGTTAACTGCTACCCTCAGAGAGAAGGAAGAGACTGCTCTGCAGCCAAGGCCTGGCCTGGCCGAGGGGCTCAGCAGCCTCTCGGTGACAGATGAGTGACAAATGCCACCGTAAGTGGCCTTGTGACTTAGAACTTGTGCTTTCTTTCAGCTGCAGCGTAGCTGTGAGGTTATGTCGCTGCCTGACACTTAATCCATTTCCATACAAACCCAAACAAAATCTTGCATACTAACGAGTGTCATGTACAGAGCAGTAACTTATCTCTGTACAAGAGCAAGAATGAGTCACTGCATGTCAAGGTTCTATAATTTGGATATGCTATTTAAGTAAAATCTGCACCAGTAGCTGCTTGTTAGCACCTCAGCACTTGACAGAGGCCCCAGAGAAACTGCTGCCACTACACCAGGAGATGGCTGGAGTTTTATTAAGGGATTGCACCCTCTTTGTTTGGGGGATGCAACAGAAAGTCACAGCTGGGAACACAAGTTATCAAGGCTTGACTTCCACAAAACACACAACTTGTGTCTGCTTAACTACAGGAACTTCATCCAGACTCAGCCTCCTGCATCCAAAACCCTTCCAAGCCCCAAATCCTTGCTGGTGGAGGCTCAGGCTGGAAGAACTGGCCCCAGCCAGTTTTATCCATGGGAATGGGGGGGAACGTGGTTTGAACTTCAGCTTTGATGAAAACACCCCAAAATTCCAGAAATAAAACTGTCAGCAGAATATACTTACCAAGGTTTTAACAAGTGATATTTTAATTTGTTGGGAAAGGCAAGAGGGTTTGGGGGAGAGAAAGAAAAGTTCTGCAGGAAGCTGCTGAATCACAGGTGTTAAAACATGCACATTTTCAAGAGCTGGAGTTTCAGTGTGGTGACATGACACAGATCAAGAGTTCAGCAGACACTGGTTAACATGCCAAACATCTATAACAAACCACTGTGGCCTAGCTTTGTTTATTGGGAATCACTTTAGTAACCTGAAGTCACAAATAAGCAGTAAATAACAAAAACTACAGATAAACACGGGTTACACATGCAAATTCCTGTTCACATCTCACATGTGCAGGTACATTAAGAGCACAGTTCTAAAGAGTCTTGACAAAACCAGATTTTAACAAAAAACGGTGTTAAAATGCGGGTATGAAAAATTCCACACGGAGAATATAAAGATAACTTTGTCCACCTGGGGACTCCAATGCTGCTTTTGAGATACCAGGGATGTACAACAGCAACGAGATTCAAGTAAAAGCAGGAAGAGCTCAAGGAAATAATACTGGTTGGAGAGAATGGGCATTTACTTCTCACTAAAAATACATGGAATAGCTGAATAGGAAAGTCTAGCAAGAGCTTCGAAAAAAAGTCACAAAGTTGTAAAGCTGGCTAATCACTAATTTTCCTATTTGCTATAGATAACAGCAGTGACATTAAAAGAAACTGCAATTCAACATTTAAAAATGCAACTTACATTTAAAGACTTTTCCAAAGTGAAATGCAATGACAGCCTTACACTCAAAATTAAATAGCTGCTAGGCTCAGACCAAAATATGGAATGTTCTAGATAAAATAAAAATACAGTGTTACTTTTCAATTTTTATTCAGAATGGAATCAAAAGACAATTTCTTCACCTTGAAAGTAGTAAATCTCATTTGAACAAGGTTTTCTCATAGATGAGCTTTCCACGAGGGTGCAGGATTTTTTTTTCTGTAATAGCTTGAAGTGTCAAAACAAAAACTTGTTGCCATTCTCACATTAAGAACAAATTGTTGTCATTAACTTAACTGCATATGCTTTTTGCTACAACATTTAACACATGAACAGACCTATAATGCCTACTGTATCTCACTAAAACAAAAAAGAATACAGTATTTCCATCTACTACTTGTACTGCTTTTAAAAAAGATTAACATTAAAAACAAAGCCACGTTTTCCTTACATCCTTCCTTCTTTTTAAGCTTCTTTCTTTTGCCTGTAGTCTTCTGCCATTTTATCCAGAATTTTCTGTTAAAAGAAATTATATTTGGGATATATTTAGAGAGTTTTTCACAGTGACAACACCAAGAATAGAAACATAAACCCAATTTCCAAGTTTAACATCTGTGAACATCAATTGCAAAGGTCACAAATAACAAGGCTGGCACTTCTCCCTACCCTGAAGTGGAGTTTGAGCTCCTCTTGGCAAGCCAAGGGAATTCCTTTCCATTCTGTCATGGACCTGTGACAGCCACTGTGCCACTTACCTGGGTGGAATCTGCCACCTACAGAGGTAGGGACAACACCCCCCCTTCCCTGGAGAAGGGCTGTTCTGGAAGCTTGAGGAATTTGTCACCCCTTGGACGACATTTGGTAGCAACATCAATTCACCTATTAATTTTTTCCTGCTCTCCCGGGGAAGGAGACTCCCAGCTCCAGAAGTGCCACTGGGAGATAGAAGCTGCATTTCCCCCCTTCCCTCCCCAGTTCCAAACCCCACCAAGGCCACACAGTCACTCACAACTTGCTAGTCATTTGTGCCATGGAAAAAGCAAAGCAAATCATGTTTCATTTAAGCAACAAAGGTAATAAGTTGCTTTATCCCCCCTCCCCTTTTTACATCAAGCTTTAATGTCCCATAATCTGGTACCTCAATGGAGAAAAAAAAAAAGAAAAAAACACTATGGTGATGGATGAGGTGGGATTTCTTTCTGCAAGACCCTGCATGGGAACTGATTATCTGATCTACTCCTTGATCATGTTGTTTGCTTTTTCGTGCCATCTGCCTTCCTGGGCCCTGTATTTATTGAGGGTTGCCTGTTATTGCAAGGAGAAGGCAAATGTTTGGAGTCTGAGGTGCCACCTCTTCCTTTTCTGCGGAGTCCTTGGGGTTTGCTCTCAGCTCAGGGATGGACTGCTATAAATCCATTTCTGACATAAGTCCATCAGTTCTGCAGGACTATCAGAATTTGGTTTAGCAATGCCCTTTCCTGGAGGTGATCTTTAAAGCAGCTCACAGTAGGAGGATACAGCAGCAGCATTGTCACTCATGCCATGCAATCATGTGATACCTCATCCAGTGACAGCATTGAAAAAGTGCTCACAAAATCAGAAGTTGCAAATGTTTGGGGGTTTTAAACACATAAAACCTTCATCTTAAGCTTTGCTGATTGCTTAAAAACAATCTTGAAGGGACAACTGGAAGTGATCTGAGCCATCTGTATTTATTCTGCAATGCTACTTCTAAGTCTGGCCTTAACTCCAACTGGAATTCCCTCTTTAATCCAAATTTACAGGAAAAAAATGCTGAAGGCCAACTCTAAGCTGTGTATTCTGCATATTATTTTCACAAGATGAAGTTTTGAGAGGTCTACCTGGAGTTAAAAGATAGAGAATAAGCCAATTTCCACTGCCTGGAAGGTATTTTTTGTCCTCAGTCCAGTCTTGTTGAATTCTATTCCCCAGAAAGAATCACGCCAGTTAAAATGAACAAGTTTTTGCCTTACCTTCAACTTTTGATAATGAGGAAGGCTGCTGCAATGGGTCTTTTTTGCAACATCTTCATTTGTGTAGAACAGGGAACACAATTTGCAATAAAACCCTGTTTTGGGTACCACATAATTCACACCTAGAGGAGTAAACACCACAAAATAAACTAAGAGATCTACTCTATATCATTTCTTTTAATGTCATATGTCATTTCAGCTAAATCTTAAAACCATAATTCACTTTACATTAAAAAGCTGCTTTATCTTTAAAAGTCCTTGTTTTAGTTTACTCAAGCCAGGGCCTATTAATAACTAAATATGTGCAGACTTTTTTTTTTTTTTTTTTAAATTTAAAAGCAACCTTTAAGATTAAGGGTCCATTTTATTGGTTCCTTCAAAAGAACTCACAGTGTTCTGAGATCAGCTTTGGAGTATTTAGTATGACTGAACTGTTACCACTGTTGTGCTTTGAGCTAGTAATTGAATTTGTGTTGCTAAAATATACCTCTTTCAACTTAATTTCTGCCTAAGGAAAGTGTTATGGAGAACTGTATGAAAACAAGGGAAAAAAAGAAAGCAAATACTCAGGTTAGGGGAGGAGTGAAGAACAGGGAGGAAAGGGAAGCCCTAAAATGAAAGGGTATGGGGCAATGTGTTGCCAAAACCAAAAGTCAGATGAAATGAGAAATGCTACTGCAATGCACAGAGAGTACTAGAAAAGGAACGGAAGCAGCCTTACCAACAGGAACGTTTGGCTGGTACGGCCCAATCCTAAACTCGTCTGGAACAAGAGGTTTCTCTTGGACGCTCTTGGTTTCCTGCTCATCCTGGGGGTCTGTGTTTTCCTGGGGGTTTTTCTCAGCATCCTGGGCTGTCGTGGCATCTGAAGCTTCCACAGGCTCAGCCTTCGTGCTGTCCTCGGGTTTCGTTCCATTCTCCAACGTCTCGTTCTCCTGCTCTGGCTCCTCGATCTTGTCCACCTTGATCTCTGCCAAGCTGTCCTCGTTCTTGCCTCCCGCCTTCCCTGCCAGGCCCGACTTGCGGAGTTTCTGGTGATCCGAGTCCTCCTCATCCCCCACCTCATCCAGGGTCACAAAGCCCTCCATGCTCCGTGGGAAGCCGCCCACGTAGCGCTGTTGGGAAAACGGGGTCCTTAGGTCAGCTTGTGCTTCAGTGTTCCCCTCAAACTCTCCTAAAGGAGAGCAATCCTTTCTCCAAATTCCCTGGAAAAACGCTCGAGCTCTTCCTTCAAGACCTGCCTCCCTCATTGAACTCTTCCTCAAACGGGCAGAGGTGTAACGAGCTCTTTGGGTGCCCCACTGCCCCAGGAGCAAAGATCCACTTCAGAATCAGGATTTTTTTGGCACCATAAGGGGCCACTGTTTCATCATATCAGCATGTGATTTCATCTTAAGAACGGAGCAAAAAGATACTGAAATTCTCAAGCTGAAATTCCTCTGAACATGAGTATTTTAATTTTAGGTGAAAGTCATTTTGGAATGCACAAGTTTTGTTTCTATTTGAGACAGTCCCACAAAATCCTCAAATTCATGCCTGAATAGAAGGTAAAACCTTACCAGAACTATTCTGTGCCCACCAATGGTATGAAGGCTCATTTTAAAAAAATTAATTAAAAGCTCTTTTTCAACCAGATTAGAGTGTCCACAATAAAAAACCAATCAAGCAAAGGGAAAGAAAACCCAACCCAAACCCCACAAACCACCCGAAAGTGTGGAGGCCTCTTAAAATTCAGGTTCATTAAGAGTGACTGTCTAAACTCTGAATTTTTGGAGACATTCCGCTGATATGGAGACATCATTATTACAGATGCTGCACAGCAATGGTGAGGAGGGCTAAACCAGCATTACCTTTGTGAACGTAGGTTTACAAGGAAGCAAGTTTGGGTTTGAGGCAGTTTTTCACAGTGAGCACCCACACACAAAGAAACAAGGAACACTAATGCCATTTGCACTGCCAGCATTGCTCCTGGCACCATGGAATTCCTTAGCTTCCTGACAAAAGGAGCCCTCACAACTGAAATCCACACACACTTCATTCACTAAGAAGGGACAGGCCTTACTTCCTTGCCAAACAACATTCCAAGTCAGTAGTTACTAAAACTTTGCACGCTCCTCCACACAAGTATGATTAACAAAGCAGCTCGTAGGACATGAAAGCCATGAGAGTGTGGGATCATCTGGTGAGAAAGAGGGAAATCATAGAAAGTAGCCTGTGACTAAGACACCCTGGAAGTCTTTTCTTTCTCCAATGGGAAAGGGCCCTGGCTCACCACAGATGGCCTGGCCCACCTCTTGGGCTCGGTACACACAGCCATGCCCAAGTCCCCAGTCTATTATTCTGTGCTCTGTGCTTGAGGGTAACTACGACCAGGGTCCTGAGAAACTGCTCAGGAGAAAACAGTTCCTGGCTGCTCAGTGTTAATCAAAAAAAGGGGTGAAGAAAAAGACAAGCAACCCCCAGGAGGTGACAGGGTAGGGCCTTACAAGTGGAAGGTTTCTGTCCAGACAGAACCAGGGATTCAGCACTGATTCAAGGAGAAGTTGCATGTGGTGGGATCTTCCACCTCCTTCACAGGAGCTCTAACACCCATTTCTCCTCAGACAGGTGTTCAAGCCCCCAACAAAAGCTCTGCAATACAACCTACAGTGTGTGCTGTCTAAGTCAGACAGGGCTTCCCCCACTCAGATCCTCACCCTATGATTTACCTTTTTAAGCTTTTTCTTGGCTGCTGGAGTGGCCACAACGTTCCCCTCAGTTTTTACTGTGGCATCATCGGGGGTGTCCTTTTTCTCTTCAGTAGCCACATCAGCTAAATTGGCAACATCTGCATCCTCTCCTGCTGAGCTGCCACTTTCTAACAATGCTGCTGCCTCCTCCTCATCCACCAGCAGCTCATCTTCAGATTCCAGGAGTAAATTTGGCTCGTCTTGCTCTGCCTGTTCCCCACTTTTGGCACCTGAGGGCTCAGCAGGATCCTCTTGTTTCTCCTCTTTCCCTTTTTCTTCTGTAGTGCCACTTTCAGGCTTCTGAGCAGCTTCTGTTTTAGACTTCTTATCACTGGGAGAATCTTTGCTGTCTGGAGAATAGGTTCTCTTTCTGTAAAGAACAAAGAACACTTGTTTCTTGTAAACCTGGAGAAAGCCCAGAAATTACTTTTTAAAAAAAACCCAGAGGTTGTATTTCTCTAGACAAGCCTGAAAAATATTTTGTTTCAGTTCAGGAAATGGAAGGTTGAGGGAAACCTTGAAGGACACCATTCTTCAAACATACAAAAGGTTGCTGCAAGGAGAAATTCTCCTTACAAGACAGGACAACTGCTCGTGGGTTTAAATTGCAGGAAGGCAAGGCTAATTAGGGACTGGAAAGGATTTCCTGAGGAGCCTGAGAGGCTGTGAAATCTCCATCCTTAGAGGAAGAGGGTAGGCAGCATATTAGACACAGCTCATCTCCGGGCACAACAAACAACAACTTGATCTCAAAGCTCATCTGACTCTTTTGTGCCGTTTCTGTGCTCTGAATAAGGTACTTTCATATTTCTTTTAAACAACATTATGCTTTAACAATAGGAAATTACCTGGTTTTATCCTTTTTCAGCAGCTCAACTCCTTTGTTGGGAATCTAAAAGAAAGAACTTTGTGAGTGACAGCAGGGTAAGATTTACACCAGTGCTGCAGCATTAGTTCAGAAGGACAACGCACCCAAGAGCTCCCAGTGACATTCACCCACAGGGACTCCTGTACCACACCCACCTACCATTAGCAAACTATTTCAGACAGGACCTGACCAACCCAGACAGACCCTGCCTTCACTCACAGTAATTATCAGTTATTCAATACAAGAGAAATGGGATATCCTGCTCCAGAATATTCCTCTTTTTCAGGAACTGATACAATGTGGTGCAGGCACTGGCACAGATCAGTCCTAATCTGTTTTCTCCTTATCATTAGTGGAAACCTTTAGCAAACCCCCAGCACTTCACTTATTTATGAGTTACTGAACAGGGACTGTCACTTGTAGGCAATACCACAGAGATCTATTCAGTGCATTGCTGAAGGATTTGAGTGTTCGTTTGGCTGCACGATCATGTGCAACAGTACCATTTCTTCATATTCCACAGCAGAAACCTGATGTTTTCAGGAGACAGCTTGACAGTTCAAATTTCTCCTGCTTTTCTACCTGCTGTTCCACTCTGATGGAGAAAGTCTTACACCTGCAGGAGTACTGCCCTGGTGTTATGTGAAAAACCCCTCAGGAACCTGTCCCTCCCTTATATGAACTGCACATGCAGAGATGCACTTCTGATGTGTCCTAAGTTTTCACAAAGCTTATTCATGTTCAGAGGAGGGGGAGAAAAAAACCCCCTCCAAGTTACAGCATGCTCTAAATGGAGCCATTTCAACTAAAATTGACACAATTTACTCTAAAATCTGAATTCCAGAAATTGTTTGGGTTTTGTTTCATCTGAGAGGGAAATCCTTTAACTTTGTTCTAGGCCTCATAACACAACTCTCATGCCAAGTAAGTGCATTAAGGAGCCAGAAAATATTAAAGCAAACCCCTCCATTTTACAAGCAACAGTGAATTCTCCTAAGTGACGGCTGTCTTCACACCTTCAACTGCAATTAAAAAACTAAACCCACTTCCTACCCTTAACACCAGCTTCTTGTACTTCTCAGATAAATCCACTTTCACACATCTGCCTTGGAACCAAAGGGCTTTGTTGGCACAATGCTCCACCATGGCCAAAGCATCTTCCCTGGTCTCCATCTCAATGAAAGCCTGAAGAGATTAAAACAAACATTAAAAAAGACTATAAAACACACAACACATTTGCAGGCAAAGCTACTGAACTTCAAAACACAGCATTTCCAAACACTGAAACAACACTAAAAGGTTCAATTACATCTGTCCTCTCCAAATACTTTAAAATTTATCGAAGTGCTCTATAACCCCAGCTTTTCAATTCAATACCACCTGTGCCATAGACAGTTCTGAAATTAAACAGGCATTTAAATAATCTGCCAAAAATATCACCATGAAGTAAATTATGATTTAAATAATAAAAAGCATCTGGACAGTGAAATTCTTATTTAGTGCCTATGTACTTGGGAATTCCAGGAGAGAGGAGAAACTACCCAGCTGTTACATTTTTTGTTTTTTTGAGAGAAGCCTGAAACAAAAAGGCAGCAATTGCTGGTCTGTAAGCCCAGCTTTGGGAGGAGTTCCTCCTGGGAACAAACCTACGGAACACTAAAGTTTCTGAACAAGATTTAAACAACTCCATGAGCTGGAGTATCCTTGGTAGAAAGCTGAAACCTGCTTCTGCAGCCAGCTTAGACAGCAAGGGTTTTCATTCTGCCAGTGAAATAAGGTCAGGGAGTTTTTCCTAGAGGTCACACAAAAGATTCCAGTAATTTTTCACTTCACAAGTGTGGCATTAAGGGATTCAGGCACTCATCTCTTTTGAAAAGGCAGTGGAATTTCCTATTTAACTCAAGGGAGCAACAAAGTGGGACAGTAAAGCTTAAAAAAAATTAGAACGAAATAGTTTAAGCTCCTGTGTATTTATAGAAATCATGTCCATGCACATCCAAAACATTTTACTGTGCACATGCAATATGCTGCCTTCAAACCTTTCTTTTTCAAGCTAGAGAGCCACAGCAGGACTGCTTTTGTTTAGTTTTAAAGAATGAAAAATAAAGGGTAAATGAAAGAAACATGGAATATTGTTTCATAGCTAATGGTCTTTCAGCCCCAAGAAAACAGTCCCAAGGCTGCAAGGAATCCACATAACCCAATAATTAAGCCTCAGTGCTAAAATATCTTTTTCCCAGCTGAGGCCTGTTCCTGTTTTAAAGCAGCTCACATTATAGGACATTTCACAGGAAGCTCCAGAGCAAAATCCCACCCACATAGAGCCCCCAGATCATTTCCACAGCTCTGCTGGAGCACAAAGTCTGCACATGCACCAATTCAGGGCAGGGCACTTCTCCCCAGGTAAAGCCCTCAAGTTTCCAGTCTCACACAGATGTTCCCAGGGGAGTTACCTGGCTCTTCATCCTCATGAGGATGTAGTTCTTGATTTTGCCGTAGGGCTCAGCCAGTTTGAGCACCGCGTTGTCAGAGTACCCAGAGTGCGGCAAGTTGCTCAGGTGAATCACACGGCCCAGTTCTGGTTTGGGGGGCTCCGTCTTTTGGTCAGGTTTACCCTCAGGTTTCTGCCATGGAAAGGGAATAACGTGTTTTTGAAGACATACTACATAAAATACACAGGGGTGACAGTCCCTTGATGAAGCTGATCCAGCTCACAAGTACAGAAATCAGGAATAACTGAAATGCAGCCGCCTCACAACACTGACTGCCCCACATTAACATAAGGTAGTGCCAAAAAAGCAGGAGAGTTTTACCTTTATTCTCTTGTATTTCTGTGACAAGTGGACTCTGACAGGTTTACCAAACACCAGGGCAGGTGTTGTTGAATAGTATTCAACTGCAGCCTGGGCGTCTTCAGTGGTGGACATTTCGATGAATGCCTGCAATGATAGAGAACAAATGAAGCTCTGCTCCCTCAGGAGCCAGTGCTTCTGCTTCACATAACCAAGTTCTTCATTGCTTTCTTGTCAAAACAGCTGCATCAAAAATGAAAATTGCTTTCTGATTACAACATGCACTGACCTGCAGAACTTGGCATGAATTTCACATACTTTATTTAGGTGCACAAACAGAACTATTTGGTTTGTTTACATTCCACCTAGATTTGGATTCAGAACATTTAACTGCTTCCTGTTTTTTCTCTTTTCTGATACTGGCTTTATCCACACTTCAAAATGAGACACACTGTATAATACAAATTGAGACCAATAAGTTTTCCAGCTTATACTGAAACAAGAACAACATGTGGTATTGTTGAGAAAGCTACGAACAACCAACAAGAAGGATTTTTTAATATTTAAGTGAAAATGCAGTAGGACAGCACTGCTAGAAACATACTCTTCCTTTCCTACAAGACCTTGTGGTGAGGTGTCACTTGGTAGCTGAGCAAGTCCTTCCACAAAACCAAAGCTCAGACAGTAACAGCCACCACCCAGCACCACCAGTAGTGCTACAGGGCCCATCTTACCTCATTGATTTTGTTCAGAATCAGGTGATTTGTGATTATCCCAAAGGGCTCAACGAGCTGGAGCAGCTGGTATCTCAAGTTCTTTCCCCTCTGGAAATCCATGATGTGCACAACTCTGCTTGTTTCCTGTTGAACACAAAGCATGTGATTACTGTATGAAAAGATCCAAGGGTACCAGTAAACTTAAAGAGTCTGTCAAGGCTCTGCTTGATTTGTATTTTTTTTTAATTTTTATATCTTCAGTAGTAACCAAAACAAAATGCACATAGAAACGGTCCAGAACTTCCCACAGTTTCATTAGAAAATGTTTAAGAAGGTTCTGTACAATATTTTGTAGAGTCCTTGGCACAACAAACCCCTAATCTTACGCCAAAGTTTCAATATTTCCATATAAATCCTAAAATCTCACTTTTAAAGACAATCATTTAATTTTAAAAAAAAATCTTAAGAAAGCAAACAAACATTAGATAACAAAATGGTGGGTACAAAAATCATGAGTTTTTAAATACTAACCACTCTGCCCTTCTGCATGTGCCTCGGTCCTTGCATATTTCCATTGCCAGCTCCTTGAACAGATGAAAACAACAAGCTCAGTTCAACCTGCAAGACTGGGATTAACGTGTCTCAGCACGAGTTCTTAACGGTATAAATCACTTGCAATATCAAACCAGAATGACATCAAGTTTTACAAACCAGTTATTTCACTGCAGTCTCAAAAGGCTTTTTATTTATTTCAGAGGTTTTGTAACTTGGGGTTCTCCTTCCTTGCCCCCTTCTGTTCACCTGAACGTCAGAGAAAGAGCTGCATTTACAGCTGTGCAGAAACAGCAGAGAATAAGTAAAGTTCGTTGAAAAAGAAATCTGTCCTGTTTCAGAATAAGATTTGCCACAGCAAAACATCTCTGTACATGAAGGGTGTGAGGTCTCTTTATCTAAGACACACTTTTTAGGTTCTAAAACATCACCAGTTCTATCACAATGCCCATTTTAGTAGGAAACACCAAAAAAAGCGCCTTTTTGATAATTTTGCTCATAGTGAAGTTGTAAATGTTTCAAAAATTAATGGTCTTATTTTAATGAAATGAGGTATGAGTGTATCTATCATCCAAAAAATCCTATGAAGTGTCTCGAAGACTTGTACTCTGTCAGGACACCCAAGTACATGAATTAGTTTTGCTCTTTTAGTCATTCAAACTATTTAAGAGGGAGGAAGTAGCAACATCAGGCAAGAACCTGATTCTTAGCCTCCCTTCCTGAGAGGAAGAGGCATCATCCATCTTCCCATTTCTCAGTTGCTATTCAAATTTAATTCTCAAATTCACTTGAAATTAGGGGGAAAAGCCACTCAGGACATTGAATTCTTGCAAGTTTCATCCAGAGAAATCCAGCAACATGTGCCTACTCCCAAGACAGGTACAAAAACCTCCTAGGGAGGAAAAATCCAAGTCCCAAACGTGTAGATTAATCACAGTTAAAAATCACCAGCCTTAGAATGAATGAGTTATTAACAGAGTACCAGGCTTTGGCCAGGGAAGGACTAAAGTATTTCAGTTCTACTGCTCCAAAAAGTGTTTTCTTTGGTTGTTTTCAAACACTGATAACAAATTAAAACAAACAAAAAAAAACTAGCACGAAGTTCGGCCTTGTAAAAGGAGGTGCTTATCAAGGTTACCTCTGGGCCCAACAGGGGGTCCTCCAAGGTGGAATGGAGGTGGAGGTGGTCCCAGAATTCCTGGTGCAGGGTTTGTGGATTGCTGCAACATAAAGGGATCACCCCTACAAAGAGAGGAAAACACACTGTAATTTTAAACCACAAAACTGTGAAGCTTTCATTCTCAAAACTTCCTAATTTCTGCAGAGCTTCAATGCAGACAACTTCAGCAACTTTTACTGCTGTCTTCAGCTAAAAACCAAAGGAAGAATCCATCTGGTGTGTTGTTTCACATAAACTGTTAAGAACATCCTCTGCTTCAAATAAAAAAAATATAAATACTTCAAAATTAATTACTACTTACATTCCATGTCCTGAATCACTGTCAGGATTCCATTCTGGGTATCTTAAAAGAAACAAAATTAAAAGAATATATAAGAAAAACAATCTCCTCTACCTGTGTAACACCTGTCACAGCAGCTGTGATACCTGGAGATGTAACACAGCTGAAGCACTGGGCCCACTGCAAGAGCCAGAACAGCACTGACAGCAGTGCTGTTCTTCAGGACAAACTCCCTACACTGGTTGCTGAGTGTCTACCAAGTTTTATTTCAAATTGCGCAGTTTGTACCACGACAAAAATGTAGAAGTTGGTAGCAGTGACTACAATTCCAACAGATTCTCAACATTTAAGATCCATTGCAAAATGTTACATTTGCATCTGCAGGATTTCAAGGTTATGAACCAAGATCCCTTTTTGTGCCTAAGATGCTCTCAAGTTGGTTTTATTCACTACAAGGCACCTGCTTTGGGCAACATAACTGAACATCACTTAGAATCAGAGAATCTCCTGAGCTGGAAGGGACCCCCAAGGACCACGAGTTGAACTCCTGGCCGTGCACAGGACCCCCAACACTCCCCCCAGTCCCTGAGCCCTGCAGGGTGTGTGCAGTGCCCAGCCCAGCCCTCGTGCCCGTTCCTGCAGCTGGTTCCTACATTTCGAGCAGCAGCTGGCAGCGGCGGCTGTGAGTCGCTCCATTGATGTGGTGGTTCCACTCCTGCAGCAAAGGAGAGAATTCACCATTAACAGCCACACCGGGCAAGTCATTCTAACAAGCTTCTCCTCTAAGCTGAAGTACTGTAGATACACAGGTAATGAAATCTTTTTGTAGTGCTTTGAAGAGACACTGACCCTGGGCCTGCCCTTCCCTCCTAAGCTGGGAAAGCTGTGTGATGGAGCTGTGCTCGCTCCTGCCCCAGAGTGCAAAGCTCCCTGACCCTGCGCCACGGGCACAGCCTGCCCTGGTAGCCTTGCAGCTGAAGGCTGAGGGTTTGTCCTGAGTCATTGCAGAATTTCCTCCCCTCTCTCTGCTTCATTCCTCAGATTTTACAGATTAACTCAACACTCAGATTTTTAGAACCACTAAGAGGCCAAGAAATTGCAAGGAATTCAGAAAGGAAAGACTAAAAGAAATGAAAGTGCATAGCTAGGACAAACTACAAGTATATGTGTGTGACCTTTTGAGGGGAATAAGGGAGGTCTAAATGGTAAAAAGGAAGAATAATGGAATTAAACTAAATCATCCAGGTAAAACTCCTCCTGGTTCTGGCTTTAGCACTAGAAACTAATGAGGGATTTCTACTTTTTTCTGTAGACTGTTTTCCAGTTGTGCAGCTTCCTAGATCAACAGGCTTCTTTTGGAAATTCTGATTACTACTTCCTTGTCCAGTTTACCCCAGTGGTTACACTGTTATCACACACTGGACTTCCCAGCTAATCACAACTGCAACACTGCACTGCTTCACGTGGTCCTTCTGCTTCTTCTCAGCACCAGCAAAGGAGTTTTTCCTAATCCCTCGTTTCTCCTGGTTTTTGGGTTCTGCCACACTGCCACCATTCTTCTGGATCCAGACAGACACTCCCCAGGCTTACTGCAGTGTTTCCATGTTACATGCCCACCCTGCACTTTCCATAAAGGAGAAAAGCCTGGATTTAAAGTCCCCCCTAAAGTGCTACAATATTACTCCAGGATAACATGGAGCAAGATGAAACCTTCATCCATTTTCTCAAGGTGGAAAATGAGAGCACCACTTTCTCCTGTTAACTGCACAAGATGCTCTGCAGCTATAAATAATTAGGCTGGTAATTAGGATAAAAAAAATATCCCACCAAAACCCCAAATCTACGAAACATTCAATACAAAGATTCTTAACTTCAACACTTGCTAACAAGTATTAGCACTATAAAAAATCCCGTCCTCTGGACACCAAAACCCCTCTAAATTTGGGTGCAGAGTCAGTAAAACCTCACTGGCCAATTCTACCAGACATAATGTGCTTTGGATCTGTCTTAACACATCATTTAGAATTATTCTAAACTGACACAGAAGCTGTCTGCAACTCAGAGGCCAAGTCTGGAAGATCTAATTCTCAGTATACTTAAAACACTTTTAAATTGGCAAAAAAGGGAGCTCTGACATATAACTTTGGATCATTCTTTTCCTCCAAGGAATATGACGACTCATCTATATTAACTTTTTATTGAACAATTCTTAATCTGGATTCCCTTTGCTGCCTGCACCCAGTCAGAAATGTCCCTTCTCCAAGGTTTTGGGGCACCAGGTATTTACATTTACACTCATTAACAGGAATGCCCCATGTGTTAAGGAAGAGAAAACCTAAACTGAGTTTATTCCAACCTAGATTACCCTTTGGCTCAGCTGATGCCAGGGAGAGGACACACTGTTCCTCAGAAATTAGGCCAAACTCGAGCACCTAATTTTAGCCAGCCATCTATTAGGACCACAGCCAGGATTTCCCTCCGAGATGCACCACAGGTTCAAGTGTTTAACCTCCAAATTCATCTCTTCATGTTCCATCAGCCTTTGTCTGGCAGGGAAAACAATCCCTCCACGTCCAACACCTCATTCCTTGATAAAGGGATCAGGACTGACAAAATGCCTGAAATATTTGGGGCACAATTTACTTCACAGACAGAAAACAAACTGGGGCTTAAAATATATACAAACAAATTAAGGAAGCAATTAAGAACATCACTAAAATAAAAAATTGGACTAGTCTGCCAGTTAAAGTTACATGGAGGGTGTTTAACTCCCTGCTCAGGTTTAAAATACACACTGCTTTATCAAACAGCCTTAAAAATGTACAATATTTTATTTGGAAGTGGGGAAAATGAGATTTTGATACTGCAGTCATAAGTTTACATTGTCCCAGCTAAGAAAAGCATTCCCTTTCTGCTTTCCAGAAATTTCAGTTTAGATCAGGTTCCTTTAAAAGTAAAGTTTGGCTTGATTTGATTTCATGGGAGACACAAAATAAGGAATTCTGTAACAGTTACGTATGCAAAGCAGAGGAAAGAAGGAGAGAAAGAGAAAAATTCTTGTGGTGACACGATTTCTGAAATTAGAAACAAAGCCTAAACTTGGGTCATAAGAAACAGATGATCCAATCTCAGATAGTTTAGGGTGTACTAGCAGTTTAAGTCAAAGTATATTCCTACCAAAAAAAAAAACAAAAACAAAACAAAAAACCCAAAACAAAAAAAGGTTTTACATGTTACAGAAGAGGTCAGCCACAAGTTATGCTGTTAAAAGAATTTGGTACTTCTCATACCTGGAGAGCTATTCCAATGTGGATCCTTTCAACAGATCTGCACTCCAAAGCACACTAAGAACCACCAGCCTTTAAAATAAAGAGCTAAAAAGACCCCTACTTACAGGATTACTGGGTGCCATCGTCAAGGGCCTCAGAAGTTTATGTTTTCAATCTAACCCAATGAAGTCCTTTTACAGAACTGAGCATGGCAGCTAAACTGTTAACACTTAAACCTTGTGTGAAAATAAACAGCAAATACAGGAGACAAGAAATCCAGTTTACCGTGATTATTTTATATCAAAAGTAATTAAAGCAACACAAGTTCATCAACTGTCAGATCAGCTGGAGCCATCCAGCATGTGCTCTAAAACTGGTTTGATCCTTTCCTTGCAGGAACAGAATAATTCTCGTGTTTCAAAAAGATCAGATGTACAAAAGCAGCACTTTCTGAGAGGTAACTGTAAAGAAACGGTTAGTAACAGCAATTCCACATTGTATCAATTTTACAGTAATAGCATGTATTATGTTTTCAATTGAAGGCCTTCAAGCTAATTAGCCACTAATTGTGACAAGAGCGGCACTATATTAGCCAATTAAATTGCCTAGTACACTGCAAACCAGCAAGATGAGTATCACTGGAAAAGCTGGAAGTGAGAAGGCTCTGAAAACAACATCTGAACATAAACAGGCCGTTTGGAGTAACCTGCTCCCTTGGCAGAGCTGGACTAGGCATGGATAACTAAGAGGGAAGTCTCAACATCACCGAATACACCCGAAGATCCACTCCACTTGTGAGCCAAGTAAAGAACACTACTAGGAACACAGAGCAGGATACTGCAACAGCAGATTGATTGCTCGGAGAGTCTACAGGGATAGATGCAACATGTGACAATAAAAAGTGAGTCTGAAGTGTTCTAAGAAAGTTGTGAAAAAAGGAGAAAAATGACGACAAATTTCAGCCATAGTATGAGATAGAGTGTTAAAGTGAAATTAAAAAGGCAAGAATGAGCTAATCTAAAACGTGGCTTTTACTTTTGCAAATAAGTTCCAGGGCTCTACATTAACTCTTTCCCTTTGGACAGGGAAAAAGCAGAACTGTGCAAGAATGCATCTTAACTACACATAAATCAGCAATCAAGACAGATGTGGAGGAGAGCTGTAACTAGCTTCCAGAATGGCACAGTAGATACACTGCAAAAAACCCCAAACCAACAAAAAAAATAACAGAACCCACCCCAAAACTGCTTGAATACCAGGCCAGATGTTTGTGGTTAAGAGAACATGTAGATGTAAAATATAAATAAGATATCCCAGTAGATGATAGCTGTTTGACTTGAAGTTAAGCAATCTGGGCAAACAAAATACATTAATGTAAAGCCCTGGTTTACAATGTTTGTTAACAATTACCTTGCAAATAAACCAAGTGCCTTTTTCACTCTCAAACCAATTTTCAGATCATTTCAAAAGCAACCAGGCTACAGAAATCATTAAAGAAATAGGTAAAAACAGAACAGATACTACAACGTAAAGGAAAATAGAAGTATCTGGTGCGTAACTCACCTTATTAGAATGAACTGGCATATCACATATAGAGCACAGATGGGGATAACCCTTCGGTAAGAATCCATGGAAGTCTTCAATATTGCTATTTGGAGGAGCACCTCTCTTTTTCTCAAAGAGAGATCTCTCGGGCCCAGGACCACGACCCATTCTGTCATACTCACTGTCAAATTTATGATAGTTATGCGAAGTCTCACCATAAAAAGATTCATCCCTACACCTTTCTCCATCTCTCAATCTGTCATCTTCATAATCCATTCTGTCATAATAACCAGATTCTTGAGAACGACTTCCATGGTCATAGTCAACCACTGGGTTGAGACTAGGACCACGATCATCAAAGCTATCTCTTCTAAAATGCCTCTTTTCTTCCCAATCGTCCCTAGGTACTCTGTACGGTGGTTCCCGTGTGGATGATCTGCCATCTCTACCATAACCTTCTTCAGCTCTCCTCCTTTTAAGTTGTAGAAGGATCTGAGGCAAGTTTTCAGGAGTGATCTTGTCCTCGGGATAGCGACTCAGTTCATCTAAGTCTCTAGCAGACAGACCAAAGCTGGCCAAAATGTTAGTGGCCTGGTCTGCATCTCCACGGTGCTGAGAAGACAAAGGGAGCGGACCTCTACTTCCAATGTTAAATATAGACTGCAAATTATGGGAAGAGGTACTACCAGAAGACAGTGCACTATGAGATCCTTGTTGGTTCAATGAAGAACTCATTCCAAGATTCATTAAGCTAGCAAGGCGTGCAGTACCCTGGTTCATCCTTCCAAGAGATGCTGGCATATTTAAAGACTGGGTAGCAGCAGCAAGAAGGCCTATTCCTGCAGAGAGGTCACGCCCATGACCTTGTGAATCCCTACTCAGAGATGACTGCTGGAATGACTTGGACATTGTAGAACTAGAGCGTGTCTACTTTATGGATCAAAAAAAATTCCTTTTTTTTTTTTTTTTTTAGAGTTTTTTTAAGATGGCTGCAAAGAGAGCTCACACTAGAAAGCTAGGCAAACTTCACTTCAAAAACGGTAACGCCAAGAAAGAGGATCAATAATGACTGCAGATCTTCTTCAAGCTGAGAAACACCAGACAATTCTGTAGAAAAACAAGCAGTTTTAGTCATAAATCCCTTTAAACAGATGCAGTTTTAAACTTATGCATCATGTTGATCTAAAAAACATTAGAGATCTCAATCTTACAAGGCTTTTATCACATAACAGATTCAAGAGGTACCCAGAGCCTACATATATTATTGCAGATAAAAATACAGCAGTATTTCCTATACATACTCCTTCCACAAAAAGCTACTTTCATACTGAAGACAAGTGAATTTCAGAAGTTGCTGATGTCTAAAAGCATCTGTAAGTTTACTGACACATGAGCCTTGATCTCTGGTTAATGGTTTTGTTCATACCCTACATTAACTGTACTGTGTCTGTGAGAAGACCACAAAAAACTTAAGCCCATAGAATCCAAGATGACTTTGGCATATAACACATATTTGAAAATGAAACCTGTACCACCACAGAACAGGACGAAAGGAAGTTAAAAGTAACCGAAGTTTGGGCAAAAAGTTTCTGCTAAGATCTGTAAACAAGACCAAACATAATATTCAATCTTTATGCAGTAAAATTCCAATTACTGATGTGAAGACAGATGTGAACAAGAAAAACAAGTTTTACATTTTGCAGGAAGTAAACAAGACCTCTTGTTCCAATTGCAGTTACACTGCTAACAGCATTTCAGAAGTGATTTTTACTCTGTTCCACTGCAGCTGTGACATCAGCTGTACTCTCAGACTCAAGCTAAACAAGGTCAGGCTTAGTGCTGAGATGGGAGACCCAAGGAAACCCTGCTCCTGCAGGAAAAGACCCCAGGTGAGTCAGGAGATGGCACATCACTCCAGACAGCCCTGCCCTGTGCCAGCACTGCCTGGCTCAGGCCTGACACCGTGACCACATGTGGGAGTTAAAGATCCTACAGCACTGCTCACAAGAGAGGGATCTGCCTCATGTCCCACTAAAACACTAACCTCATATTCAAATATTTGGTTCCACTGCATTACCTGAAGTTTTAACTACACGCTATTAATATCCACAGTATATTTTTTGCTGCAATGAATATAGTTCATAAAGTTTTTTAGTGCAGAGCAGAAATAAACCATAACACTTCTCCCCCATCCTCCTCCAGCCTCGGGACAGACACATGAAGTTTAAAGTAGATGAACACACGTGAGAACATTCCACCAGGAATTCCTCATTCGTGGGTCCCCGGCGCTGGAAAGCCCTTCCCATCTCCACAGAGCAGTTCTGCTTCTCCACTGCCACTCAGGAGCACAGACACACCAGCACTTGGGAAAGAAACAGGCACACACTGCACAGCTGCAAATGAAACCAGCTCCCAGGAGAACAGGGGGAATGCAAAGGAGAAAATGAAAGCAAGGACTTTTCCTTGAAGAGGTCAGTTCTGCAGAAGGCAATGGCTCTTGTACTACAAACAGAAGGAAAAAGGTCAAGGTTAGGAGCAGCTCTCTATCCCCACTGCCAGCTCCAACAGGGCATAGGGTTGAAAAGCACCTGGGTTTTCTTTCTTGGCAGCAGTGTTACAAAATCATGCATTTATGTAAAAAAAAATGGATTCTATAAAAAATACATAAAACACACAAACCTCACACAGCTCCATCTTTGCAAAGGAACTCCTCCATACAGCATCCTGCATACTCTTGTTATCAGTACATCTAAACTCATATTTCACCGAGTTTTTAAGATCCATATATGCTGGAGTCAAAATATGCTTAATTGTGTGACATTTGGTTAAGAAAAAGAGCTTGAGAAAATTGGGGATGGCAATAAGTTTAAAAGAGTGTGAGGCAGAAGACAGAAAAGCACTGCAGAAAGCTTCAGAGAACAGTAATACAAGAACAGAGGGGGAGCAGATGAGGCAAGTCCTAAGGGAGATGTCCCAGACAAGGGGGCCCTACTAGGACATCTGAACAGAACACATTTAGGAACTGTACTGTAAAAATCAAAACTTTAGAGTTCAAAAATGAAATATTAATATTCACCTGGGTACCAGGCTTTATCTTACATTCATTCAGGAATCTTCAAAGTACTTTATTACAATTTTTAAAATTAATCCCTACTCCTTATATTTTTGCCCACATTTCCTCCTAGTTCATTCACACACTTGCAGAAAGGCCTGAAGCTGAACTTACTGGGTTCTTCATAAAATCAAGTGCTCCAGAGGGCTTTGCAAGCCTGAGCCCGCAGCGGTTCAGCAGGAGAGGCTCAGTGTGTCCTGCCCTTACTGCAAGGACCCCACTATTCAAATTCCTACTAAATCAGGAAAGTTCTCCGTTCTTCCAAAACACCCTTTCTCTTTGAACAGATGCTCCCTAATCCTCTTGTCCCAGCTTTCCATTGGCAGTTCATTGTCTGCTGCTCTGGAGATTAGCAGAGAACAAACCCCACGGCATCCCAGCCTGGCAGGACCCCGCTGACACCACTGATCCCACCACAGGGGGCCTTACAGAACCACACCGTGCTCCTGCTGCAAACACCCAGGGAAGGAGGGGGGAAAGGGAAAAATAAAAATAGGAAAGATGGCTGAAAAACCAAGACAAAGACACAAAGAAGGACAATCTTATGGAGAAGCATGAAGTGGGACAATCAGACAAGTGTTTGATGAGGACAGAACACACGCTGGCAGTTGGTGCTGCTCATGAAACTGCCCTACACCTAATTGGGCATTTGAGTGGGGTACTTCAAAAAACAAGTGAATTATCCTCCAAACCCCGCTGTTTCTTATCTTGTAATGGCTGCTGCACTCCACTCTAACCACCCCCACTCTGTAAAGTCAGATGAAGACAGTGAACCGAGGTGGGGGGAAGAGCCCCACAATCAAGGACCTTTAACTTCCACAGGGTCAGGTTTCACGGGATTCTAAGGCAGCACTTCCTGTGCTGATCACTCTGGAAACATTCCATGGCAGTATCTGATAGAGACAGGTTCCCATGGAGCAGGGCCAGTCTTGGAGCCAGGGTGCCATCACCTGAGTCACAGCAACAAGACAGGTAGGACTGAACAGAGCTGCCTCGGGAGCCAGACAGGAGTTAGTTGAAAGGGTTATGTTAATTGTTCTCTGGGTAATCCCAGCTATACTGGGAACAGACTCTCAGATACAGGGCTTTTAAGATCTGTGGACAGAAATTTGGCCATGTTAAGATTTGAAAATATATAATATAAAGCAATTGTGAAATAAGTTGAAAGGCAAAATGTCATTGGATTTCCAGACAAATGCGGACAACGAAAACAATTTACATCTACAAGTTGCTGAGTTTTCTGTAAAGGCAGACAACAAAACCAAGAAATTTGAATCCTACAGAACACACTGCTACCAAAAATAGGTCTAAATGAGGCTGATTTTCAAAGGCTGTAGAAGGTTTTTCTTTTAGTGTAAAACTGATCATAAACTCTTTTCAATAAAGCTTACAGAACTCTTGCTCCAAAATTAATTTTGTTCTGAGAATGGTTTAATTCAGTGAATTCTTGGAACACATTGATCATGCTGAACACAATAAACTTAGCTTGTCACCTTTTATGGAACACCAGCAGGCTGAAAATAAGTCCCTGGCTCCCTATTCCTTCTGCCACTCTCAGGGGGTTTTAACCTATGCATAGTTATTAGAATTTAATGTTAATCTTGTTCTTATAACAACTCATCTTTTACCCATTCCTCTTCCACTATTTATAGGAAAAATGTCTCAAAACTGGAAAGAACTGTTTTCACTTTCTACTCAGTTTCACTTCCAAAAACATTAGATTTAATTAAATAAATTCAATTATGGTAAAAATATGAAATAATGGACAAGCTGAAAAGCACACCCTGGGTCTGTAAGAACTCAACATTTTGGCAGGTCGAACACCCTTGGGAAAAAAGTTTGAAAGAAGTTCTACATCCACAATATTTGCTCTTTGGATAAAAAGCTACAGGTTTTCCTTCTCCTCCCTTGGGCACTGTACTTGGTGCAGTGATCCTTTCTGCCATGGAAGAATTCCTGTTTCTCAGCAAACCTGGCTCCAGCACATCATGGCAAAAAGGCTTATTGATGGAAGAGATCTGCAATTTGGACGGGCAGCTCCCCAGGCTGCTCTGAGAATTAATGGCAGTAAAAACCAGAACTTGCAAGAAAATGAGAAGCAGATGTTATCTACTTGCTGAATGACCAAGTACAATGGATTTCAAATGCACAGGATTACACAGAAAAGGCCACCGTCTTTCCAAAGGCAAAGGAGGAATTGCCCAGCAACCTCAGAGAAAATGCAGGTTCTCACCCATTTCAGGTCCAGGATTTATAAATAACCACCAGGATATACAAATAATCATCCAGGGTGGTTGTTTAATGTTGTTGTTTCACGTGCAAGAAAACATCTCATCTTGTTCAACCATCTTCAAAGGTCATGCCCTCAAACACTCCAGGGGCACCTGGCACGCAGGAGGCACTGGCTTTTTTGGGGCACAGATTAGACAGTCTGTTTCAGGCACAACACCTGGAAGAGTTTCAGTTCTTAGGATTATGTTTAGCTTCATCCCAGTGACTTCCTTGAACAGAGAACATAATTATCTGAGATCTGAAGTGACTGTAAGAGAGATTGCTTCAGAACAGAGGAAAGGTATATTTATACATGGGAATTAAAATGATAACTTTGGCAATTAAGAATTTTAAAAGAACGTACAGTTTTCAACATCTGAATGCAGAAAGGAACACTAAGACAGGCCAGTTTCCTATTTCTGCTCATTACATAATTTAATATAGTCAAGCATCCCTCTTTTGTAAGAAGTGAATAAAAAAGTGCATTTATTCCTTTACAGAAACAGAAGTGGAAAAAAAAAAGGCCCAAGGAATAGTACAGAGAGAACAGAGAAGGCAAACCCCGTGTATTTTTAGAGAGGGAAAGGAGTACCACCCAGAACCAAACTGATAACTGCTGTCACGTGTGCTGAGCACGCCACAAACACATGGTCACCTCCGTGGCTTCCAGCCACCCCTCCCTGCTGCCTCCAAGGCCGTGTGTCACCTCCAGAGCCCCACTCCACAGCATGAGATGCACACAGGTTCCTGCAGCTCCAGACAGCTCCAGAAGCCAGCACAAGGGCTCTGTGTGGAATGCTGAGGGAAGCTCTGACGGCACAGCTGTGTCCCTGCCCCTGGACACTGAGGGGACACTCGCTCTTCATTCCCATCAGCTTTGGGACCAACAGCCCCACAGGCACCAGAACTGACGCCAACACACAACATCCCACAATTTTCCCAGAGAAACAGGTCATACAGAGAATGATCCTGAGACAGACCAAACCAGAGTTACCCACTGTAACAGAGAACCAAATTTACCCTTTTTCTTTTTTTTTTTTCCTTTTTCAAGAAACCAAACAGAACAGTTTTGTTTCTGATCTGGTGATTAAAAAGCCTTCTGACTAACCAATCTGCCTCCAGGCGTTTCCAAGGCTGGGATGAAATCCCGTTCTTTCCCAGATGAAATCCTGCATGAAGTTGCAAGACGTATTTTAGCTGCAGACAAGAATCAAGGGACTGTTTGACTGGTTTAGTGTTCAAAAGAAAAACCCTCTTGTTTAAGCTATGACTGCACAATATGCTACTTAACCACTCACAAACTAAATTAGTTCAGAAATATTGTGAGGTATTTGCTTTTGTTTTCAAGACTTGTTGACTCAGAGCACTGATGAAGAAAGGAAGCAACACTGAGGGCACAGAAATACACTCATTAATTAACTGCAACAGCTTCTCCCCCAGTTTTGCTGAGCTACCCAGAAGCCTGTCTATAGATTACAAAATACTTTTGCATTCACCCAAACTTTCAGCAGAGCCACGTGCAAATCCCAGCCAGGGACAGCACACAGCATTTCTTTATTTCTCATCAAATTAAAGAGCACTTGAACCGCAATCCTGAATAAACCACGTGGCAACAGTATTACAGTTGTGTGGAACTTCAGTTTGGAGCCTCGAAGACCAACTCTTCTTTCCTCCTCCTCAACTGGTTTTTAGTTTTCAGCTTTAGGAACATGGATATTTGCATTTTAAGGGTGCATTTAGGAATTTCTGTGGGATTCTTTCTCGTCATTTAGTTCTGGGATACGAGTAACAGCTTTTGCACAATGCAGAAGTACAGACACCGGGTTACCCCTGCACAAACACTCGTCCAAGGCTCAAGTGCCATTTAATTCTGCTGTGTAATTTAGTCATGAATCATTTGGTGGGGCTTTAAATGGAATTCTAGACAGAAGTTCATTAATTTCCTGGTAATACATTAGAAATGTTAGTATGTTCCACTACATTTCAGAAAACACTATATTATTTTAGTACATAGAAATCGTAAATATATTAGCATATTTCAAAACATAGGAAGATTAAGTCACTGGATCAATAGATTCTTTGTAAAGAAGTATCAGAAAACACTCCCTTTTCCTCTTCTCACAAAACCTGCCCAGATGCTTTAAGAAACTTACATTTTCAACCAGAGCTGCTTCCTACTTATCTGACTCTAGGAAATCAGGACCACCTACAGTTTAAAAAACCTGAAGAATTTAAGGCTTTCTAAAAAGAATAAAGACTATTAAATTGTTTAAACCAGTATCAGATACTTTTTTCCCAAAGGCCTGCGTCCTGGACAGAAAAAAAGCCACACATTTAGAATCCGAAGGATGGTTCAGCTCTCTTTCAACAGCTCATTTATCATTTTAACAAAGCACTTCTTCAGGCTCCCAGAAAGTTCTTTTCAACTTGTGCTTATTTTCAGCATAGGTGAACTTTGTATCTCGTTACTCTGACTCTGGAAACAGAGTATGCACATTAAAAAAAACGATCAGGAAGGAAAAAACAACCCTGCATCTCGATTTGTAAGCAGGCTCTGAATCCTATGAAAGTGAAACCGAGTAGAAAGAGGGGTCAAACGGATGCTGCCCTGCCAGAATTCCCGGTTCATTAATTTTTAAGGCCAGATTAAGATCCAAACGTGGTTTTGCCCGTGACGGAGCGGTACGGGGGAGGGAGGGGCCGAAGCGCGGGGGCCCCGGGGCTTTGTTCGGGCCGGGCCGCTCGGCCCGCAGTGCCCGCGGGGGGCGCGCGGGGGCGCCGCGCGTGACCGGGCCTGCGCGTGACCGGTACCGCCAGCGCGGGCCCGCGCGCCCCCGGCCCCGCGCGCTCCCGCCTCGCGCCCCCCAAACCACCCCCTCAGCACCCCCCCCCCTGTGGCGGGGCCGCCGCCGAGCCCACAGTGGGGTCCCCGCACGGCACGGCAGGGCAGGGCAGGGCAGGGCGCGGCGCCGCTCCGCTCCGCTCCTACCTGCGGGCCCGCGGCAGCGCAGCGCGGCGGCGGCGGCGGGGGAGGGACTGCCGGGCGGACAGACGGACGGACGGCGGGGCCGAGGGAGGGACGGGAGGGACTGAGGCGGCTGCGCGAGCCCCGCCGCGCTCGCGAGAGCACGCCCGCCCCGCTGCCCGCTGCTCGCTCACGTGCCCGGCGGCGGCCGCCCCGCTGTGTCCGGTAGCGCCGCTGTGCCCCGTGCCGTGCCCGGTCCGTGCCCTGTGCCCGCAATGCTCCCGCCGCTCGCCGGGGCCGCCCCGCCCGCCCTGAGGGGTGTGGGGATGGGGGGGGTGCCGCCGCCGCCGCGGGTCTCGCGAGAGGAGGGGGGCTGCTCACCCTGCTCTCGCGAGAGCGCGGCCGCGCCGCGCGCCACCAGCCCGCCGCCCGCGCGCCGCTCATTGTCCGCGCTCCCGCGGGGCACCATGGGAAAGGCGCGGGGGGCGGGGCGGGGAGTTGGCCACGCCCCTTCCCCGGCGGGCGGGGAGTGCGGGGGTTGTGGGTTCGAGTCTGCCCTCAGCCCGGCCCGGGGAGAGGCATCGCCGCCGGCGAATTCCTGGGATATCCGGGATATCCCAGGAATTTCCACAGTATCCTCTGATCCCCGAAGCACCGTTCCCTGTGCCCCAGGGCACACCTGGTCCCTCAGCGGCCGGTCCGGCCCCGCGCAGCCAGCACAGCCGAGGCGCGCTCTGCTCAGCACGGCGCTGGTGGCACCATCGCTCAAAGGGTTACAATTCCGGCTCCCGCCGGCGCTGGGGGTCCTTAGAAGATTCTGGTAAAAGCCGCCGCAGCCAGCGTGCGAGGCTTTGCTGTTCCTCCGATCCAACATTGCCACCTGGTGCTGGCCCAGGAGAGGTCCCCCTGCTTCTGCCCTCACGAAATCGGTGCTTTGTCACCAAAGCACCCGTACGACTGGGCAATTATTTATTATTTGGAGTCCTTTCATAGTGACTGTCTTTATTCCCTATTTAATTTTATGGCTAAAGAACCAATCTCTCCACCATCGCTTTACAAAGGGGAGGGTATGTGTGTGAATTCAGGGAAATCTCCAGGGGAAAGGAAAAAAATCTGCCTTTTTAATTCATCACAGGCTGGTCTTTCTTCTCTACGTGTGGCTGCAGAGCACAATAACACAGTAGGTACAATAACACAGAAACAATAACAGCAGGTATTTTTTAAAAATGGGATTGGTACAAAATACGTGTTGAAATAATATAACAATATTCAGAGAACAATCACAAGAAATTCAGCTCTTAACAAGCTCAGGATAAAAAACGATTAAGTGTTAAAAACATAAATCTCAGTTAACAATCCTCCTGTGCAGAGCAGTAAAAGCAGAGCAAAGGTAAAGCAATCCAGCTACTTTTGCCCAGTAGAAGTCACGTATAGGTTGCAAAAAGCACGGTGCTAATAAACAAAACCATATATCAGGCTGGCATTTCCAACATGCAAAATGCGGGTACTCCTCCATTTCCTGGCTTTATTTCAATGCCAGTCTTGGACTACATGGGTTTTCTCCCAATTTACTTTGTTGTCCTTCGGTCAAGGCACTAAAGCCAGAGAGAGGTGAATCATTTTGACCTTTATTGATTGTCTTTGTGCTGCAGAAGGAGCTGCACAGTGCTGACCATAATCTTCCTGCTAACGGGAAGGGCTGCAGGGGCACCCTGAGCTCCACATCCCAGAGCCTGGGCTTGTGCTGACCACTGGAGAAGCTTGATGACATCCCCGTGTTTTTTATTTTCCAGTTTTGCACAAAGCCTGGACATGGCCCAGCCCAGAACCCCCCGTGCCCTGGGCTGATCCCCCAGTGTGGGCAGCAGGGCAGGGGGGATTCTGCCCCTCTGCCCCTCAGGGGAGACCCCCCTGCAGAGCTGCTCCAGCCCTGGGGAACAGCACAGCAAGGACATGGAGCTGCTGCAGAGAGTCCAGAGGAGCCACCAAGATGGGCAGAGGATGGAGCAGCTCTGCTGGGAGGAAAGGCTGGGACAGCTGGGATTGTTCAGCCTGGAGAGGAGAGGCCTGGGGAGACCTGAGAGCCCCTTCAAGTTCCTAAAGGGGCTCCAAGAGAGCTGGAGAGGGACTTGGGACAAGGGCTTGGAGTGCCAGGACAAGGGGGAATGGCTTCAAACTGCCAGAGGGCAGGGTTAGATGGGATATTGGGAAGGAATTCTTGGCTGTGAGGGTGGGGAGGCCCTGGCACAGGTTGGGCAGAGAAGCTGTGGCTGCCCCTGGATCCCTGGAAGTGTCCAAGGCCAGGTTGGACAGAGCTTGAAAGCAACCTGGTCTAGTGGAAGGTGTCCCTGCTCATGGCAGGGGGTGGGACTGGATGAGCTTTAAGGGTCCTTCCAGCCCAACCATTCTGTGACTGGGGAAAAAGCAAGACCGAGAGCTGCAGGCCCTCAGCAGAGCTCTGGTGGTGTGTGAGGCATTCACTGAGCAGAGCCCTGCAGCCCTTCCCAACTGCTCTGGTGGGATATTCACCACTGCCAACACTTTCTCCATCCTTTCCTCACACCCTTTTGTACAGCACAACCAGGCCTACAAATCCTACGTTCAGCCAAGGTGAGTATCACAGAGCTTTACTGCAGACTTTTTTTTTTTGAGGAAATAGGCCTGTCAGCATGTATTTGTTGTCCATAAAACGCTTGCTTTATGTGCCTGACAGAGCCCATATTCCCCATTTTTGCCACTTTTGGAATTACCTGGCCCAGCAGCAAAGCCCCCTGGTGCAGTGAGTGTTCCTTGGCAGGCAGGCACCCAGCCCTGGGGCACTCATCTGGGTAGGAGGGAGATTGCCAAGCACAATGGAAACCCCTGGGAATTACAGGTAGGATTTGTTCCCATAGAAACAGAGACATTTGTGGATGTCATAGGTTTTAAGTAAGAAAAAGCTTTTTTCCCAAACAACAAAAAGTATTTTAACAACTATTTCCATGTGCAGTATAAAAACTGTGTATTAAGATGAGGATATTGAGATGGCAGAAAGGCTCAGGGGTAAACAGGAATATTTAAAAATTAGGAGAGCCTAGAAAAAAAAAGTAATCTGCACTGCAATTCATTTTTTCAAAGAGCTCAGAAGCACCTACTTGATATAAACCAGCAGTGCCTGGGGAACCAGCCTGATGTGGTTCAACAGCCTCAGGTTATGAGCTTCAGCCCCAACAACCTGAATTCCCTGAGGCTGGAGCAGCACAGTGTCCCACAGCAGCCTGTGTCCCTGCTTCCAAGTTTTATTGGGATACAGACAGCGCTGCAGCCACAGCATCTACAGCAGAGTAACTGTGGTGTGACCAAAGACCACTGAACTATTTCTTAAAAACTAAAGTTTTAGCCTAAAACACTTCAAAAGTCTGGACTATTTCACAAATACAGAATGGAAATGAGATCCAATCTCTCCTGTCCCTTTTGGAGGGAGCAATATCCTTGGACTTTTGCATTTAAATACCAGTTTTGCCTGAATCCTTGATGACAATCTTGCCCCTCCCCACCTGTTTCAATGGATTTTACATATTCATCAACCTTTTCCAGCTGTTTTTTGTGGGCTTCACCTCCCCTGGGCCCAGGGAAGGAGTTGGTGCTGCACTGTGGCCTCTCCAGTCTGACAGACAAGATTTTACTGTGACTTTCAAAGCCTTGTAAGATAATGAAAACCAAACTGAGTAAGTTTAAACACTAATAAGTTTAATTGAGGTCACATATAAATATATTTTAAACAAGCAGTGAAAAGGGATTAACAATTAAAGAACTGTACACATAATTCTTGTTATAGCCTGCCCCAAACCACCTCTGATGTTTGAAATTCCTACGTCCAGATCCTGAAAATAAATCATTTTCTTATAGCCCCATTTTAATTGGGGGCTTCCAAGTTTCCATCTTCCCAATCCTTTCCAAACAGGGATTTTCAGAACAGCACTAAGAGCTTCTTTCTTTTCTTCTGGCCACTCTTGCTGCTCCAGCAAGCCCCAGGACACTTGCCTGTAATTAAAAAAACAGCAAAGACAGTTAATAGGAGGATCCCTAAAGACCTCAAACTCAACCTTTACACTGAGCAGTTAAGTAGCTGACCTTCATTTTTATATAAAAGATATACAATAAACAAAGTGTCTGCAATAGATTTATCAATTTTCTGTGTGTTGTCTGCATCCAGTCTAGGCTCTAACCCCACAAGCAGGAGTTACTCCACTCTCAGGCATGCAGAGCACTGCCAAAACCCAGCACCACCAAGCACCAGGACGGCACCAGTGGTGCCAGGAGGACTCAGCAGCACCTTTCTCTCCCAGCAGCATAACACTGGCACAGGCACTGAGCAGCCACGGGCAGCTGACTACCACTGGGAGAAACAACTCAAAACCGAGGGATTAAAGGACTGAAGGAAGTGGAGGCACAAAGTACAACCCTCCGGTGATGCCTCCTCTCATCAGGGCTTCCTCCAGCAAGTGGAATAGATAATGTAGGTTAAGTAAACCTACTGCTGGATGAACTAGGTTATTCTTTCCACCCTCAGGACCTGAGGCTGGCACAGGACCTCGATCACAACCAGAAAAGGACGTTTAGTTTACTACCAACAGAACAGAGTGTTTGCCCGTCTCCCCTCGCTGGCTCA